ATTGTGAGCCATTGGAAGGAGCTCCAGAGCAGGAGGACAGGCAACAACATCTCCATTCCCTTGCTGCCCGTGAAGGGGTTATATACCAACATGAATTACTGTAGATGATTCATGCATTTTGGGTAGCAGAGAAAGGGCAAAGTGCAGAGGAAAGAGGTGTGTTTAGAATACAACGAAAAACACATCATCTAGGTTGTTGGATATTTTACAGATGTCGCAGGTATGTTGATACAGAATGTTTCTTTACAACAGCAACAACAGCAACAACAGCATCAGCAACAACATCAGCAACAACAACAACAACGTGGCTCCCAATAAACATGACTTTTTCGTTTGCCATTCATAATTATGCTACTGTAGAGTCCAATCTTTTGAATCACAGTTTCTTGCGACTGTGTTTTGGTAGTGGCTCCAACGTTTTCGATGATGACAGGTCAACGTCATTAATTGACCAAAAGTGGGTTGTCGAAAGGACATCGTTTTTAGCCTGATTCCGGCGACGAGAGACACACCGGCGCAAATTAATTGAATCTGAGCAGAAGATCCCCAGAAAGCGTAGATTCCAAATTTCCCAGCGTCGTCAAGCAATGAGGAATAGGTCTCCTTTGATTGTTCTCTCAGACAACCGTGAGGAGGAGGAAGAGCCTGAAGAAGCTGAGGAGCCGGAGAAGGCTGGAAGCCAAACTGACAGGTTTCCACTGCGTGAGCCACCGCATGTCAAAGGAAAGGTGAGTGTATTCTGTGTGCAACATCATAAGACACCGTAGTCAGTGGATGTGGCTCTGAATAAAGCAAGGGAGGCCCCTGAAAGAGAGATGTGGCCAAGACAAACCTTAGTTGTTGTTCTTTGCTTCAAGTGGCTGGCAAACAGACATCATGGACAGATAGTTTCTGGTCAAGTCTATAAAAATGCGACGCCGTAGGTCGCCTGTGGGTTTTTGGTGTATTTTCAATATTGTATGATGTTATCACATTCTGAAGATTTTCAAGATTTTCACTTTCTTCTGGTCGGGGGGGGGGGAGTGAGAACCGTCGTCGCGAAATTCCATCATTTTTTTTGTTTCGATCGCAGCATTGGGTCGACAATGCCGCATGACCGAAAGCGAACACCGCCTCATTTCAATGTGACCGAGTACGCCCCGGTGATTTGCGTCGAAGATTCGTGCCTCGAATTTCTCAAAGCATCAAGTTTTCCACGGTTTTTGGAAATGTCAATGTCTTGTATTTTGTTGATGTTAATTGTCAGTCTAGAAGCTGCTGGACGAGAAGCTGCGGAAAGGCCTTCACACATGTGAAGAATGGCTTGCCGCTCTTGCGAAGGCTTGTACAGTCTGACACAATGTGTCCGAACCTCTGGCAGCAGACACAAGCCATCAAAATCGTCGTTTCGTGCTGCTTTTGCGGCCGAAATCGCTAAGTTAGCCACAGTAACCTGTGGCGCTGTGACCCAGGCTGAGGTATTTGATTTGACTTGTGGTTTTGCGTGGGGTGGAGGTATGAAGGCTTGTAATGTGGGAAGTGATAGGCAACAAGAAACATTCGTGTAAAATAAAGTTCACGCAATGAACTGGTCCTCATGGGTCCCTGGCCCTCCTGGTCCTGTTTCTGGGCTCTTTTTGGTCTGCGCTGTTCTCTGGATGACTGACTCAGAAAGGACGCAGCTGTTGACGGTGTTGACTGGGTGCCCCAGTAAGTATCAAACTCTCTGATCTTTTTGTATGCCCTTCCAACTTCCAATGCCTCACATTGCTACTAATTCCACTTGCAATCTTGCGAAAGAAACTCTCGACACTTCCTACACTTTGTCACACCTGTGCGCCTCCGGAAACCTTCAGCCCTGAGCGCTCAACACTCATGTTAACAAGGTCAAAAGCTGCACCTTTGCCTAAACTAGTTCTTATTGTGTCTTGGGGCTGTTGAGGTACTGTTTCTGTTGATGACCCTTTTTACTTTCAGTTTTGCCTGCATCAGTCTTTCTACGGCACGACCTGCACTGGTCAGGTTCCTACAGATGAGCCTAGTTCAGTGGCGGAAGTCTCTGATGGGCAAGCAGAGGAAGAGGACGGCAAAGAAATGAACAATTTATCCAGCAAACTTGACAGAATGCCTAATGAACGCACTGGCAGTTGAGGTGGCTTTGTTATGTTGTGTTTATTTTCATTCTTCACGCCCGTGTCCTTGGTTCCCGGTTTGGATTACGCAGCGTGGTGTTTGTTGTGTGGTGTACGCTGTAGGTTTGCATTCATGTCCTCAGGCTATATTAGTTCCTCGCAACTGCGTTGTTGTTGGCAGTCCAATTCTTGGTTGGATAGCCTGACGGCAAATCCCGTGGGCTGAGACCAACGATGCCTTGTCTATGGTCAGGCCTTTGGAGGCTGTGATAATCCGGATATCCGGGATGCTTTAGTGTGAAAGAGCTTTCCATAGGATCCCACAGATTCCCATAGTATTCCGAAATTTTGATGCATAGTATTCGACGCATCCTTTAAGCAGGAGCGGGAGGGGCTTGAAGACTGCGAGAAGGCGCCCAGATGCGAAAGTGGGCAGTGCAGGGTTCCGTTCGCAGCGTCCTCTTGTTACTCGTAGCTATTTCTTACTAGTAGCAATGCACTTGTTTCTAGTAGCGATGCCCTTGTTACTAGTAGTGTCCTCTTGTTACTAGTAGTAATGCCAGGAGCTACTAGTAGTTTCTTGCTCCTAGTAGCGATGCCCTTTGTTCCCAGTAGCTTCTTGTTACTAAAGAACCCAATGATTCTGTTTGATTCTCATTTTGACAGGCGGAAACTGCGGTGGAAGCTCCCATCTTTGATGCACTCGGTCCACTTGAAGAGCCCTTGGAAGGGCCACTCGAAGAAGAGGACTTTGGAGAGCTGGCAAATGTATTATGGCATGGATTGAGCATGGCTTTTGATTTTGCACAGACTCTGGCTACTGTAGGGCCTGCACGCAAGGAACAATTGTTCCGGATGGACTTTTGCTTGACGAAGAGAGGAAAGGTGTTGTGCTTGCCGTGTAGGAAAGTGAGAACGAAGAGGTTGGCGACGTGAGGTCTCACTTGGCGAAGTGCCACAGTTGCACAGATGTGCTGTTGGGGCAGAGATGGGCTGGGTCACCACAGCAACAAGCTGAGTTCTACATTGAGTATGTGGCATCAGTCATTCCAGCTACAAGTTGCCAACTTATAGCCAATGAAGTAGGCATTATATACCCGGATTCTTTCCTCCGAACATGAAACGTTCCGATTCCGACAGCCAACAAGGCAAGCACCATGTGTATTCTGACCTGCGAACTTCAAGCATCATTTCCAACTGTAGGACAGTAATCATATAGCTGACGGTTGAGCATTTGCAACAAAGCAGGCAACACCCAAATCCTCTCATGCAAACATCAATCATTCTAGCTGTAATTCGGAAGGTCTGCAGGAAGCCATTTGATCGAACGACCCTTCCAGACCAGTCTTCAACTTTCCATGAAAGGATTGCAAGCCGTCTTCGTTTGTATGGGCGGTGGTTCATCAGTCACTGAGTTTGGATGCCGCTCTGGAAGCTCGGCTTAGGCGAAGGAAACGCTTGGAATCACAGCTCTTCGGCGGGCGACGGCGCAAGAGAGCTGCTGACGGGTGGCCAAAGCAGGAGTTGAAGGCAAAGTGGTGGGGTGTACGGTGAGTGTGGGTCCAATGGTTGATTCAAGTCCGATCCAAACTAGACCACGATCAGTGTTTTTCTTGCACACGAATTCCAGACGATTACCATACATACCAAACTACATGTGCCAGTTCACCAGGACCCTCGTGCAACCTCAAGTCTACAACAGAACTAACAGGACCTACACTCATGATAGATCATGATAGTTTGTTCCTCAGACCCAGAGCCTAGCCAAACAGAATGAAGACCAACTGGAGACAGAGCTGGGAGCAGACTTGGCGGCTTTGGGAGGAGGAGATTTCGCTCAAGAAAGAGATCAGGACGAAGCAAGAAGTGACGCCCTTAGATTGTCAGTTGAAATACTGGTTGCGAAGGCAGAAGCTGGGTGGCAGAGTAGATCAACTAATGTGATAGCGGACCATGCTTGCATTCTAGCCAAACAGGTATTATGCTATGAGACACATCTTTTAGAGGAGATTCTTGTTTTCTGAGGTTGCCTTTGTGAAACGGGAACTGGGCCAAGGCAGGGGTGCTCCAGAATGTAGCACATCAACCAAACAAGCTGTGTGCCGAGGTCCGATTTTGGCTGGACCTGAGCAGTCTGGCTTGCTCAAGCGCCGCCGCAGAGGCCGCTCAGGCGACTCAGTGTCGGACATGATAGAATGACAACACATCACATCGTATGATATCATATGATCATATTTAAGGAACAAGGACGCTACTAGGAGCAAAGGGCATCGCTACTAGGAGCAAGGACGCTACTAGGGGATCCTGGCCATACTACTAGGAACAAGAAGCTATTGGGGGCTCCTGGCCGTACTACTAGGAGCAAGTAGCTTCTAGGGGCTCCTGGCCTTACTACTAGGAACAAGAAGCTACTAGGGGCTCCTGGCCGTACTACTAGGAACAAAAAGCTATTAGTATTATATTATAGAGGCTCAGCGAGGACTTCGGTGCAAAAAAGACCAGACCCCAATTCCAACTTGAAAAGGCACTGTCGGACTCGCGGACACCAGGTGAGCGAGAGCCGGAAGATGATATTGACTCTGAGAGCCCTCTGAAGCGAGGCAGGTGGGTTGACCAGTTCTATTTGGCCACTCGATGTTCATCGACACTTCCATTGGGTTACTTCGTGTTTTTTGGTTTGTTCTTCCAGGCCGGCACATGAACGGCTTACCACAGAGCGAGCTTCTACGGATGGCAGGACACTTGGAGCTGGAGTCCCAGCGTGTGGGGATGTGAGAGGAATCGACGGCAGGAGGATCTTAGCTTATTGTCACTAGTAGCGTCCTTGTTACTACTAGTAAGGCACTTGTTACTACTAGTGATGCACTTGTTACTACTAGCTTCTTGTTACTACTAGTAAGGCACTTGTTACTACTAGCGATGCACTTGTTTCTAATAGCTTCTAATGCTATTACTTGGGAGATCAAGAATGGCTAACAGTTGTTTGTTCCTTCATCTGACCTAGGCGACGATACCTCTCCTGCGACAGCTTGGCTGTGACTGCCTAGGAAAGCTGAGCATTGATACGCACAGGTTTTGGCAGGGTTGTTCAGATCGTTCAGTCTGCATTTGCACTGCAGTTTATGCAGCCTGATGCTTCTGTTTCACTAGGGGAGGGGTAGGTGATGATCAATCGATTTGATTGAATGGATTTAGAAATCATCACAGAGTGTGGGATGCAGCAATGCTGCAAGCCTCGGGGCAGCTCTTGCTTTTTCATTGTCTATCTCAGCAGTGACATTGCACTTTGTCCGCAAGCTGTTGTGGGGCAACGGCAAGAGAGATCCTGTTGCATCTTTAACCAATTCCGTCCGTGTTTTTTGTTCTCTTTCACTTCGGGGAGGTGACCAACTGGTCCAGAATAAAAGACACGTGACATGGAGAGACACAAGGAGGAGTCAAGAAGTCATGACCGCATATGACAACTATTGGTGGTGGTGAAGCAAAGAACTCCTCTGTGCTCCGTTGGCAGCTGGCTCAAGCAGCGTGCAACATGGAGGATGACTACGCGCATCCATATGAGGCGCATTAGAGCGCATATTGCTCACAAACAATGTTAGATGCATGTATGTTGCCGCGAAAGGACTCCATCGAAAAGTTCACGACGTATGAGGACTACTTAGACAGCCAAATCACACCGCAGGACAGCTACTTGCAATCCGCGTAAAAATGAATAGTGTTCAGAGCGCAGGTCAGGGGTGTCGCACCCTCACGCTTCGGGCTGATCTCACAAATCCATCCGCAAACATCCGCAGACTATCCTTTCCTCATGATGCAGGACCGCTTTTACTTGGAGGAGGATGAGCTGGCAAGACAGCTGGTCGAAATCGGATGCCGGAAGGGCGAGGTGCGGCGATCTGACGTCTGAAGTTTCCTCCACCCGCGATAGACGTCTTCTGGCTTCTACCTGCCACGTTCGCCAGGTCCTGACACGCGAGGACTTTGCAGCTAGAAGAGAAGCTGCAGAGAATGCCAAGAAGGCATGGGGATCCCCCAACGGATCAACGGATCTTCGCGTTGGAACGAACCTGCAGACGGACTCGTGACATCTTGCGACGGACCTTCGGCAAGGCTCGCCTGCAGAACGCCCCGAAGGCCGGGCTCAGATCACTGACAAGGCTCAGGTCGTTGTGTCCACTGAGGGCAGTCTCCACAGTTCACAATGTCTCCACATGTCTCCACATGGCCTCCAACCTAAGAGCAAAAAGAGAACATTCAACAGGAACCTAATAGCAATGGCCTCCAACCAACTAGCGATGGCCTCCACCTAACAGCGGGTTCAATATGTTCACCATGATGGAGCAGGGGCGTAGCTTGAGTGGCTCTAGTTCCGATTCTGAGGTCTTGGCAAGTGCTCAAAAAAACCTGACAGACTTTCCAGTCCTTCGGCATTTGGCTTGCAGGGAGGAGAGCAGATTGAGCCACAAGTACTCTGTCGGTTTTCCGTTGAGATCCTCATTTGATGCTGTTGGTTTCTGCTTTGCTTGTTCAACCTGCGACCAGATCTTCAGGAGTTGGTGCGAAGTGGTAAGCTCAGCACCATCATCTTCATTCGCGACAAGAATCACCGTGGCCAGGACACGGTGATTTTGCATGACCAGACTCTGATGACATTGACATTCAAAGACATGCAAAGACAATGCATTTCCACCACTGTGCAAGTGCCAGCAGATTGTTTTCGTCTTTTTGAAGATGACTTTCAGCTCCAAGCTGAATGCTCGGGGTCAAATCTCATTGCAGTGTGGACTTAGGGTGACTGAGAGTAACACAATGTGAGGTTGTGTGTGCAGTTGTGGGGGTGATGTGCATATTCTCTGTTACCAGTACTATAGACTGGACATACACATCGGCCTTGGCAAGGGACATGCAAATGCTGCGAAGCAATCAAGCTTCCTGGAGGAGATCTCTGGCTACATAGACTACGGCCATCGTCTCAAAACAGAGAACTTTGAGCCGTGCCTCCTGTGGTTTCGTTTTGTTTTTTTGTCTCCCTTTGTGGTAGCCCATGTTAGCCAAAGCCGGTTGGTGATTTCTTTTCGTTCAAACAAGTGCTAAAGGAAGTTGAGACAGCACTCACTTGTATAATTGAACACACACACACACAAAAAAAAAGGATCATTATTCCAGCTATTGAATTCCAGCAGGTACTTTGACCGGAAGAAGCGGCTGCTCCCGAAGTCGCCACTTGGACGTCGTGTTGTTGACGATTGAGCCTGTTTTACTGTACCTGACATCTTTTTGGTGGATCCATTTTCCAGCCTTTTCGTGGGAGCTGTGCTGAAAAAGTGGGACGTTCATCGAATCTACTCTCCAATCTCTCCGTGTGTATTTCGCAGTGAGCACGCTAGGGACTGCTGGCAGTAAGAATGCTGTCTCAAGGAACAACCATTTGATGCTCACAAGTATGCTGAACGCTTGGCGTTTGAGGTCCGATCTGTCCTTCTACAACTGGGACACTCAACACTCGACTTCAAATGAGAGCCCCAACTTCCAGATCCTCCCTGACCACGAGCAGGGTTTGCTTTTCAAGAACAAAAGAGATCGAAAGGCTTCTCGACTGCAATGCTGTGTTCTCGTTTTTTTAATGTTTTTGTTTTGTTTGATTTTGGACCCACGTCAGGGGAGTGGTAGAAGTGTTTTTGGACTATGTTGGACTCAAACAGCAAATGGGATACGGAATAATTCTGTTGTCAGACTCTGTGTTTCGTCCAAGGCTTTCTGTTCTCGCACTTAACGGGAAAAGACACCACGGAAAAAAAGGTGCTTAATTTGCAGGAGACTGCAAGTACGTGCGGTGTTGTGCGATCAAGACAATCTTTTGGCAAGAATCTATCATTTCGCAACGCCTCCTTTCTTCCTTCCGATGTCCTTGGTCGAAAGCGAACACCGCTTGAACAGTCCCTGTTTGACGCCCTTTGTGTATTTTTGGTGCCTTTGGTCAAAGGATCTAGATTAATTCTAATTTGAAGAGTTCTTGTTTCTAATAGCTTCTTGCTCCTAGTAGTAAGGCCAGGAGCCCCTAGTAGCGTTAGTAGCGAAAAGGTATTGGGATTCTGTTGAGTGCGCCAAAGGCGGGGTCCCGTTCAGCCGGTTGGGCGCCGTTTGGGGTGACTCGAGGTCATCAGCGTGGATCCCAGATCCGAGCCGGGAGACAACTCCAAGCGCTTGGAGGTCCCCACGACCGAGTATATCCAAGCGCCTTGGCAAGCCTTGGCTTTCGCACCTGCTTTAAGACGTGAACGGTTTCAGATGGTTTCAGGACTATCTATTTTTGGTGTTCTTGTTCAGAACAAAATGGAATCCAACTTCGGAACTTTTATGCAACCATGTTCTGAAAAATGGAATCTTGGAGCAGCTTGCTTTGGTTCATGTCAGGTGGTGATTTTTGACCACATGACCCGGAAAAAGAGCTGAGCCTGTGGTCTCAGACCGGAGAGGGGAACCAAACCAAGCATACAGCTCCTGCCTCCAGAAAGCAAGATAGTCAATCGCAAGCCTTTTAGCATCAGACATAATGACACAATATGACACCTTCCTCTATTTTTCTCAACATTTCATTGCCAGACATGTCTCACTTGAAAGTCTCACTGGAAGGAGCGACTAAAAACCTCAGAATGTGGTGTCATTGCTCCTGGTTCCAAAGACGGAATTCAGTGCGAAAAGAATGTGCCAAGTTGGCGAGGGACCTGAATCTGGCATCAGTTGATTCGACTATCCTCAATTGAAGACCAGCAGGGGCTCCTTGTGAAAGTGCTAGTTCTCCACCGCAAGAGGTCATCTGGGCTCAAGGGGCCACATTTTCCGCGCACACTTAGCGGTGCAGAGGGAAGATTCGGAAGATTCTTGACTGGAACTCCAGCTCTTTTTTCAGTTCATTGACATACTGGCAACCACAGTGTAGGTCTAGTTTTGGCAAAGTAGATTACATCAACATCCAGTTCCATGATGGAGTCTCCGCCTGTCGCAAGGCATTGTGGTTGGATGGCTTGTGGTACCGAAAAGAAAGGACATAACCAAGCTGTTTGGGCCTCTTCAACAAGGTTCCTTTTACAACAAGAAAGTGTTTGGGTGCCTTTAACAATAAGGCCCCTTTCAAGGGGGCCTAAACACCTTCTTATTTTCCTTCTTTTCTTTTCTTTGTAAGGATACATAAACTTTTCTATACACATATTGACTGTACCTTTCTCTAAAGCGTTGCACGATTTGTGGCCTGCCGCGCGCGGCCGCAGGCCCATGCAGCGGTGCCTTCTTGGCGTTTTGGTCCTGGCCCCTCGCACTCAGAAATACACCATGTGATGCGACTCTGTGACGACAAAGAATGGGTTTGCAAGCATTTGAATCAATCCACTGCAAAAAAAACTTAAGGAACCTATATAATTGTAATGGCCTTCCACCTAGAAGCGTTTGAATCAAACCACTGTTTTTAGATAGAATGTGTGGCCGAGGCCGTGTCAGCATGGTTCAAGGGCTTCCATGCCTTCATCAACTATCCGCCCCAGGCATTTTGGCAAGAAGAACAATGTGGTTGTGTATCAAAATAGGGAGACCTGCCAAAGACCCCCTGGAAGAAGGAAAGAACACCTGGGGGTCTCCCTATTGAAATACCCACCCATGTGTTTCTCCCATGTTGAGCCGGGAATTCCAAGGCAGATCGGGAATCCAAGCAGATGGCGCTCATCTCCCAGAGAGCCGGATGCCTCTGTGGTCGAAACAGCTGTCAATTCGGTGGATGTCCTATTTAGGTCGGTATCTCAGGTCGCCCCGACTGCCAACAAGCTTGTGATCAAGCTTCCAAAGGCTGGGTTGGTTGGAACATGACACTAGTTTGAGCTGTTCATAGCAAGCAGCTTCTTGCCACAAGCTGACAGCTGGCCTGAGGCCCAGGGGTTTCAGTTCACCAGCGACATTCCGAAGGCACACGCATGATCCAGAGGGCATCAAGCCCTTTTTTTGGCAATAATTGAAGCAAGAAAGAAAGACAGACAGAACGAAAGAAAGAAACAGAGAAAGAGAGAAAGAGAGAGCATACATGGAAGGAAAAGAGAGGTCTAAAAGGTATAACCAACAGTCAGCTCCAGGAAGACCCATGTTAGGAGAGGTACAGCAATGTACAGCATGCATTTTCGTGGATGTGGCACCTGGTTGCCCCTGCTAGCATTCCCTTGTTTCACAGGAGAGAATCATCCAGCCGCTAGCGCTCCGCCTGCGGCAGCAGAAGAAGCGCTTTTGGGAAGCTTGGCAGTTGGCAGAGAGTGCATACTGAGAACATACAGGAGATATACTGTATAAGAGACTGACACACCATGGACCATGGAGACACCCACCTCACACCACCAAAGATGTGCAAGGCAGGACAATTGAATTGACACATCACTTGTTGAGCATTCTTGAACCCTTTGCAGCCCAAGAAGCTTTAGATCTGTCTCCGACTTGGGGCAACTTGGTTGCTGACGTATTGCAGAGCTTTTAAACATTGCTGATTCATGTTGCTGAACACGGAGAGCCTAGAGTGCCTGGGTCTGTTTGAGTATCAGAAAGTGGAAGCAAAACGCATGAAGCACATCGGATGACCCGTTTGGGTGTGTTCATCGAGCGTCCCCTCAAACCGCTTCCCAACCGAGATTCGCGCTTGCTCAGTCATGCTCAGGAACTTAGCAAAGCCGGGCATAATGTTAGCGAGGCTCATGGCCGCTGTTCTGCTTTGTGAATATGCACCAAGACAATACATCGCTAAGCCTCCGTCAGCATTTGATAGCATTTGCCCACGAGATCGTCATGCAATTCTGCTTGACTCAGTTGGTTTGCAGGATGCTGTTAGGTGGAGGCCATCACTACTAGAAGCTACTAGTAGCTAGGATGCTTTTGCTTCAATCCAACAGTTTCGCTGGTGGGAGCGGACCTTGGCCTTCGCCTCTCCGAAGGTCTTTGTTCGCTACGAAGGGAAGATGCCTTGGAAGCTAGTTGGTGAGGCTGGTGCTCGTCAAAGCGAGTTGGTAGGGTTGATTTCAGTTTGTGTAATGGAGGTGCTGGTTCACTTGCGCAAACACCTTGGATGGCAACAATGTGCAACCTCATTGACACTTTTTGTTGTTGCTATAAAGGGGCATGAGCCGCCAATGAGGGGAAATAGTCAAGATAATACTCTTAAAAGGCATGCTGATTGGCCCATTGGCCTCATTGATTTGGCTAGATCTTGATGGATGCATCCATAGTGAAGGTGGCACACAGCAGAGGAGATTTCCGAGAAGCTATCAGATGCCAATACAACTGGCTTATCAAACGTCACACACCCAGAGGGGCTTAGAGGCACCACAAGCGGCACCACAAGCGTCACCCATCGGCCTGAGACCATCGATTGACCGAGGATCTTACAAGCTTTACAGGAAGTTCCGATTTTGGCTTCCTACCGAATATCCGGCATGCCTGGCTGATTTGCCTCCACTTCTCACCGTCCGTGTCTGTTGCTCTTTGTGGGTGTATGCTAGGTCCAGTTCGGCTACACCGATACCGAGGGCAACATTGTGCCTCGTTTCAAGCCACAAGCCTTGACCAAAATCCCGAACCTTCGCAGGTATTACTGTATTATATATAACTATATATAATTTATATAATAGCAATTAATAATTAATAGCACTTTTCCTGAGGTGCCAGTGGACGATGGACCACTGGATCTTGGCACAGAGCCTCTAGAAATGAAGGCTGCCTGCATGTTTCTTCAGTTGCTTTTTGAAGACCAGCAGTTGCCAGGCCATGTTGCAGAGATGCGGCTTTTTCCCCAAAGAGAAGCCAAGAAAGTGGCGACATATCCAGCAAAACATCAAGGATATGTCCGAGTCGAAGAAGGACTGTGGACAGACACAACACGACAGTCAATGTCGAAGCCTTTCGCAGACATGAACTGTTCCCTGCAGTGCCAAGGACTTCCACAGAAAGAAGGCTTGGTTTATGAAGCGCCACTTCAACACCAGGCGACTGCACTTCAATCCAAAAAAAGAGGGGGCCAAAGACGGAACACTTTTGTGCCACTACTAAAATCTGCTTACAAGATCTTACAAGCCATTTGTTGCATTCCAGGATAGAAGCCCACAAATGGTGGGGTCCTTAGAGAAGTCCTTCTGCATTCTTGGCCACTAATTCTGCGTGGCAACATAGGATGCTGCAAGATGTGTTCGCGCGGGATGGGAAGCGCTTGAACATGTTGCCAATAAGACTCTACACAGATCCCAAAGTCTGTAGGAGTCTGTGCCAGAGGTACGATCCCAGGAAGTATCGTGGTCGCTATATGCACGTCCAGAAGTTCAAGAGGGGCATTGCTGGGAGCTGAGAAAGGCAGCCACACCCTTTCCGCGTTTGCATTTTCCGGCTGTTTCATCAAGCGAACTGGCTTTTGTATTCGAGATGTTTCCGCATGATGGCCATGCTTCAAATGGGTCAGAGCCGAGGTTGCTGGAACCGGCCCTTCCAGATGACCCAAAGCTGCTTACAGTTGGAAAACACATTGGGACAGCATCAAGGCAGTGCCATAGCAATAGTTGGTATGAGATCAGGGCTTGCGCTGCCGAGAGAAGCATTCTTTAAAACCCAAGAGTGTTTTCAGTCTGTACAGCAGCTGTAGCACCAGGTTTCACAATCTTCCCATTTAGCAAATGGGCTTAAAGAGTAAAAATGGTGGTGCAGAATCAAATAGAATTCGATCAGGAAGTGGACAACGCACAGCCTTTGAGAATTGTTTCCTGCATGTACTGTAGCTGACCTTGTACAAACACACACACACACAATTTTGAATGAGTTTGTTCTTGATTGGGGCATGGGCGAAGAGGAGCAACTAGTTAAAGCAGATACAAGGATCATTCTGCTTCTAGCCTGGCTTGAGTCACGGCACTTAGTCACTTAGTTTGAGATATCCTTAGCAGGGCCGACAGCGCTCAGAAACCAACTGTGATGTGGAAACTAAAGAGAACTATCCTAAGTGTTGATTTGATGCACAAACATGAAGGTTTTACTTAGCAAAAGACCGCAGCAACGTGGCATCGGCCACAGAACATGGCAAGCAGCGTCTAGATGTGCGCCCAGTGAAGAAACCTTGGATTGAAAGTCGGAGAATGCGCCATACGTCAAAAACAAAGTAGATTTGTCCAGCTCAGACTCTCAAAGGGCTAGTATCGCATCATTTTGCATCCATGTTTGCACCGACTATGTCTTCTGCAGTGGCAGTAAGGCCGACTTCCGATAAATGGGTTTGTTGCTTTTAGAGGAAGCCAGAATTGAGAAAGGTAAGCAAGTGCTGGTCTGAATTGAAGATGTGTTGCTTATAAGCATAAGAAATCCCACAAAGTGCACAATCGGAGATTGGGAGATTTGCCTCAGGCAGCCGGTACAGATGATTGGAGGCAGCCCAGCTGTGTTGAGGGATTTGTGTATAGTAGGCAGAGGTAGACAGCTCATTCCAAAGTGGCGCTGCACAGCTGCAGGTGCCACGAAGATGTTCCTAGTAGAGCTTCGCAAGACATCGCTGGACTCAGAAGGCCTGGTGAGGACGCCTTTCCTCTCCTTGATTCCAAACAATCTTCTTTTCATCCTTCTTTGTTGGCCGTTTGTGTGTGCCAAGGACCAAGGATATGTCCGGTGTTTGCAGTGCAATGTTACGATTCAACCGCAGGCCACTTGGTGTGCAAAGGGTCGCACCAGCGGCTACAGAGAGTGTGGCTTCAAGGCTATGTATTGTGCCACAGGCTCAGCCAAGCAAAGAAGCCAAGTTTCCCGAAAATCTGGGAACCAAATCGCTTCTAGGTTGGAGGCCATTCCTATTAGGTTCGAGGCCATCGCTACTAGGGTGGAGGCCGTCGCTATTGGTTTTCCTAAAAATCTGTAAACCAAATCATCAGTGCGGCCCCTAACTTCATGTGAGGCCGCGACGGGGATGATGTTGTTGATTTGGACGACGGATCTGCTGTGATGAGTTCCTATCTCGGCAGATACCAGATACCATCAGTTTCTGTGCCTTTTCCAATGTGAGCTGCAGGTTTGGATGTTGCAGACATTGTCGCGCGTGATCCAGATGCCAGTGCGGTATTGCAGGCCGCCGGGCCACAATGAAATTTCTGAAGCACATGATGACGGAAAACGCAGACCTGGGTGGGTTTGTTGAAAAGCAACTATCGGATACTACAATTTGCCTGCTTCAAGGCTGGCCGCTACATCAGCTGTGTCGGGTGACCAAGTGAACCAGTCACATGTTTAAAGAAAGATTGCATGAAAGTCAAAGAAGAGTCAATTGCGTTATCCAAGATATGGATAACCACTTAGTTATATATAGGTGGATTCCCTATATACATACAATAGAGGAATATCACCCTATTAAAGAACATTATTTATTCCCATCAGTTTTGGGTCGCAAAGGACCCTCTTTGGTTCTTCAAACCGCTACTGAGGTTTGCTCTGTCGAATTCCACACTCAGGACCGGGCTGACCCGTCGACCCTACCGCACGAAAGCAAAAGGCATTTCACAGGACATCTGCCTTTTTAGATTTGCTTGCAGGACGCTTAAGACAGATTGACTTGTATGATTAATATAGGTCCTTTTGAAACAGCATAAACTAGCATTTGAGATGCATTTTGCCAGGAAGGCATTTTGGATCTTCGCGTGGAGAGCACTTGCCCTTTGGACGATCCAGGTGAGCTGTGATCTGTGATCGAATTTTCAAGTTGTTTGTCATGTCCTATTTGGTTTACGACATTTTTTGAGCATCTTGGGAAGGTGATGCGCTGGCAGAGCCATTCTGGTTCCTTGAGGTCTTTGACTTGGTGCGTGCTTTGCATGTTCTTGCGTTTCTTGTCCTCGTTGATGATCCAAGCACAGGGAATAATTCGGACAAAGTCAGTCGTGAGCAGCTCGGCTTTTGAGGTGGCAGAATCTCACCAGCTGAGAGCCCTGACAACGGCTGCACAACCCTGATGGCATCGGAAACATTTGATGTGGTGTCAGGTGTCGGGGTGCTGTTTTCACGGCTCTGGATTGAAAGAATTGCTTTCCAGATCTTGCTCTGCAGCATTCAATTTACTGCTCAACACTAGAATACTAGCTCTAAACACAAACAGCGAGGGGCGCTTGTTTTCAGCCAAACAAAATGCCTTCGGTCGACTCGTGTTCTCACGGTCATGCGTCCAAAGACTCCCCCTCGCCAGAACTTATTTTCTGGCGATCTTGAAGAAAACAAAAGCGTGCCACAGCTCAAGGCATTTTCTGTCCATTGGCACACTTGCTTTTGTAGTACTCGGCTCTCATTTTCTCTGTGCCCCACTTCTTTCCAGCATTGGCGCGCTGGAATTGATTCCACGGATTTGCAGGCACCGCTTCTGAGGATGCGGCGCCTGCGGCACTTGAGGAGGCCGCTTCCGTGGTCTCGTTGCTCAGCTGCTGCATGATCAGCGATGCCTTCTCGGCACTCGCGGCGGCACTGTTCGCGGCCTCTGCAGCTCTCTGAGCTTTCTTTGCTGCTTCAGCTGCAACACCAGCAGCCTCGCTGGCTGCTGTGGCCCTTGGATCGTTCGACCCGGGCACTGAGCGGTGTGCAGGAGCGCGATGGTGCAAGCGCGAGCCCGACTGTCTCCTGGTAGGCAGCAAGGTCGAACTCGATCGGCACATAGTCCCTTCTTCATTTTCATCGGCCGGTGGTGTCATGGCCGGCTCACTCCCTTCACTGTTCTCTTCCTCCTCCTCATCATCACCAGGTGGCTGCGGCAGCTTGATGACGCTATGCAATCTTTTTAGACAGCACCCAATGGAACTCAGCGCTGTCTTTCCCACCCAGATTGCCCCGATCAGCACCAGGATTAAGCCGCACATCCACACAGCATCGAGAGGTAGGTCAGGATCATGGGCTTCTTCAGAGCCCGTTGTGTTTGCCGCTTGGGTGGCCTGAATGATCGCTCCCCCCACCACCAACATCTGCAAGGCCACTACGCGGTCTTGTACTTGGAAGTGTCGATCACCCATCGCCATGCGTCTCACCTGGACCGGTTCATTTTGTAGGCCCAGATCCGACACAAAGCCGAAGAAGCTCTGGCCGGATAATGGCTTTGTCATGCCATCAGCCACCAATTCGGCGCCTTTCAAGTGATTGAGCTGCCACTTGCCTCCAGGGAACTCAACCTGATCTTCCAAGGCTTCACGGAGGATGCTTGCTCTGACCCTGAGGTGGCGTGTCCGCCATGACGAACTGCTATTCCCATAGGCGAGGCCAATTGCAGCAACATTGTCTCCATAAATCACCCGCTCAAAGGGATTGGATGAAGTGAGGTCCTCCCCCCAGATGGCACACATCAAAGCCTCGATCGATCTGCCAGCCGTGAGGGCTTCGCAATATGAAACAAGCTCTGACTCGGCAGTGCTGTGAGTCACGAAAGGTTGGGTCGAGCTTTGCCAAGCCACTGGAGCGCCAGCAACATAGATCACTAGTCCTTGGATGCTGCGATGGTTGGATCCAGCACCATAAGCGATGTCAGCAAAGACCTCGATGAGCTTGTCGTGACGCTGGACTTTCAATTGACTTCTGGCGCCCCATTTTTGGTGGATCTCCCTGGGATAGTGCATGTCACCAGGGTTGCCTTTGACATAGGCAAGGAGGTTGTGGCCGATTTCAATGGCCCTTTTGGGATTCTTTGTCATCAGACGGCTGAGAGCCGCCACACCATAGGCCAAATCTGGTCTGGACCTTGTCGACAGCCAGAGCAATGACCCAGCTAAGGCTTGGGCTTCACGAATCTGGCGGCGGTCACATTCAACATGCACCTCATAGTCTTCCTCACTGATCTTGAAGCGAGGGAACTGCACCGCCTCGTTCACATTCCAGCGGGTGAGGATTTCTTGTTCATATTGTCGTTGAGACAAATGAAAACCATCTCCAGCTCCATCGGCCATGATTTCAAACCCACAGAAATGCACTGGCGTTTGCGCTGAAGCCCATTCAACACTGGATGTGGTCCAAGTTGCTTGCAAAGAGGTGAGGCCCGCACTCAAGGCTGCTTCTTCTCCGGTCAAGAGGATGTCGCCCACATACACGGACATGAGGCCAGTCCAGTAACGTTCACCTGTCTCGAGGTCCACTTCTTCCAGCCGCCATAGATTTTCGTCCGTGGTTTTGTGGAAGTGTCCACGGACTTTGCGATCATTTCGCACTCTCACCCAGCTCATCGATGGCATGGTCTGGTCCCTGTGCCTTGACCAGTCCTTGGGGGACGTCGTCAAGCCGTACATGGCCAGGCGAACTAACCAAACCTCCCCTTCTGCTGCCAAGCCAAGCCGCTTGTAAACTGAAGGGATCTCCATGGCGACCAGTTTCCCATCTTCTCTTCGAGGGGCATTCAAAAAAGCTACCCTGATGTCCGTGGCAGCAACTGACCAGCCCTTCAAAGCAGCTGTTCGGATCACCGCCCTCACTTGACAGCCGTCAGCTCCGCCTGCATAGCAGTCTGCATTGAACCTTGACTCTGAATAGTTCCCGCAAACAACTGCACGAGCTCTTCGATTGCCAGCTCCTGACTTGCGGGTGTAGACCATTTTTGCAGGGA